GGATAGTAGAGGGTTCACAATCTTTCTTTCTCCACTCAGTGGCGTGGAACAACTGTATGCCTTTAAAAGGGCACCATTGAAAGAAACAAAAAGGAAGCTATTTCAAAATACTGGAAATGAGGTTTAGCTGCTTACTTTCAGGGTGAAGACAATGGCGCCTAATTAAATCCACTCCACATTCCTTTGGACTCTGAGGATCCTGCACCTGAAGGCTAAATTGCATTGGTTCAGCTCTGTCTTTCTGCCCCATCTTTTAATTGCAACCTATTTCTTCCTCCTTTCATTTACTTCTCTTCTCTAAGTAAGAAATGAGGGAAATGAGACTGGCATTTTTATTTGTTTGCTTTTAGTGATCATTAGTAGTTCTCATCCTATGGTATCTTTTGAAAATGTTGCCTTCCTAGTTACACACCTGTGAAGTTTTACTGCGACTGCTCAAACTTATTTGTCTTAAAATCAAAAGGGAATCTTTGGATAGCAGAAGAGGAGATTGGGTGTAAGTTTCTAAGAATAGAGCCTGTGTGAAACAAAAAGAAAACATTCTCACAATTGGAGAAAAAGATAAAAAAGTGAATTTGCCAACGGGAAGAATTTTATGCCCCTTCCCCAATTCCAAAGAGATTAAACTTTACTTAAAAAATTTTTGAGGGGACGCCTGGGTGGTTCAGTCATTAAGCGTCTGCCTTCAGCTAGGGTCATGATCCCAGGGTCCTGGGATCCAGCCCCGCCTCGGGCTCCCTACTCAGCAGGAAGCCTGCTTCTCCCTCTCCTGCTCCCCCTGCTTGTATTCCTGCTCTCACTGTCTCTCTGTCAAATAAATAAATAAAATCTTAAAAAAATAAAAATTAAAAATTTTTGAGGGGGTAGATGGGGAGGGGAGGTAGGCTGGTTCCAGGTGAGGACTCACGGTCAAATTGGAAAAGATGACCCCACACCCATATCCCACTTCAACTTCAGCCATTACTCCCCTCCTTCTACCGATGGGGCTTATGACATCCATACACAACTACAGAGGAGCAAATAACTTCCTTTGGCACTAGAAGTGCCAACCACAACTAGAGCTTTCCATTTATATCCACTCCTGATGCAATGGCAGTGATAAGCTTTCTTTGAGATTGACTGCTCACTTTGAGGTTCTCTGCTTTTTTCACAAAAAGAGTCCTTCCAACATAAGTAGAACATGCTAGCACCTCCACATTGAGAGCAAGTTGACTGGATCCATGCAGAAAGAGGACCTTACATTTAGCCTCAGCTGTGAAGTTTCTGGAGTCCCAAAGCATACTTCCCACCCAGGTTTTGAGAAGGAGCTGCCCAACCTGTGGAATGTATCAACTAGTATGAGGCACAGCTTTTAGGGGACAAAGACTAAGCCCTCTTTTTGATACAAAGCCTTACCTTTCCTTCTGTTCCACCGAGCACAATTGCAGCAGAACAGACGTATACAAGGCCCTCTGCATAACATACGTGCGTGTTTTGACCACTGCTCACTTATACGTCCCCTCTCCCCCAGTTAAAACAAGAATGAGAAAAATTAAACACACTTGCTTAGACTTGCAGATGACTGTATCAGGCACTTGACATTAAACCACCAAAAAACAAGCTTGGCCAGAGCCTTAACACTAGCATTTTCATTGGCATTACTTTGGTGGAAATACATATTAATTGTGTTTTGGGAAGGGGGAAGGTTTCAGAGTAACTACGTGGTTGCATTTCTCTCACCTAATCTCCTGATAAGCCTTAGTTGGTTTCCTTCCCATGTGGAAAGCCTATGAAGAGTCATAAGTTGTTCAGAGTTTTGCTTATCTTCTTTATAGCCCCGGCCCCTATCCCTTATCATTGGCACCTCGAAAAAAATCTATCCAGCAGGCTTTGTCCATCTACCCTCCACGGGAGATTGAAAAAGCATGTGAGTGTGGAGATTGTCTTTAGTAAGCATTTGATGTTCTAAGTGCTTCAAACGTTGGGCGACGGCTACTCCTCTATGGAGCCATCCCCACGAAAGCAACCCAGACAACACAGAAGCTGGAGGACGTCTAAAGAGCTGAAGAGCCGTTTTCTTTCCTAGTGCCCAGTTTCCTTGGGTCTTATTTACTTGGTTTTCTTGATCCCAGACAGATGAGGATTGACTGTAGGATTTTTTCCCCTCTGAAACCTGGCTGGAATAGGCAATCACCAGAAATGTTTCCTGATACCCAGTGGAAGAAGGCAGCGCAGAGTTCCATAGTTACACTGAGACCCAGCCTTATTATTGTATTCAACCAGTTCTGGCGATCTTCCTGGTCAAATAAGGATGGGTCCCTTCCTCTAGAACAAGTCTTGGCATGAAGAACACGTAGAGCTTGTCCACTTCAAGCGCTGTGTTCTCCAAGACCATCCACTCCCCAGAGCCTCCACATTTATTTTACTCCAAAGTAACACATTTATTATCAGTAGAACACTCAAATGACACACTGAATTCCCATACAATGTCTGACACCAACCCGACTCCAGGTGCTGAACGTGATGACAGATCTGAAACATTGATGTCTGACCTTTAATTCTGACTTTGCGTCTGCTCCTGATTGTCCCTGGAACTTGGAATCAATACACTGCTTTTGGCACGTCATTTATGTTCCAGAATCTGGCTCCTGGCAGCTCACTAGGAAATGCAGATGTCTGTTTACAGCTGGCAAATGTAATATTAATTCCACTTGTACCAGCTCCAACTTTTATGAAAGTGCCTAGCTTTTTGTATGCCAAGACTGCCTACCTTTGAATTTGTGTATCTATTTATGCATGTATATATATCTAAGAATATATTCCCCGTCTGTGTATGTCATGTTCATGTGCCATTATGGACAAAACAAAGAAGCCATTTATATTGGAGGAAGAAGATCAATTAAGCATTTAGAGAACGGAGCTCTATAAAGCTCGTATTTATTTAGACTGTGGACCTGAAAGTTTTCCAACTGAGGCAGGGCAGGTCTGTGAGACAGTCACCATTGATGCTTTTTCTCATCCTCTCAGTAGGTCAGTCCTTGTGGTACAGGTAAAGAGGGGCACAACTTTGCATGGTTTTCAATGCCGTTCTCTCAGATTATAGGCACCCTTGCTGTCTGAGTCCTTCTTGTCCCAGGAGATGATGCAAAAAAGTCCAGTCAGCTCTTATTTGTCTGCTGGATCTGATTTGAACATGGAACACTGAGGACAATCTTCCCCAGAGCCACTGGAGAAGCGGCCTATATCAGAGGAAATTGTGTGTCATTTACACATTCTCCTCCTGTTTGCAGTGTTGTGTTAATCAAGTGCTTGGAAATTAAGTCAGTTGCTCAAGTGCCCTCAGCTCAGAAGAGCTTCCTGAAACAAATACCAGAGTTGTCAACACACCCGCCATGTAATTGGCTTCCATCAGCTTTATACTGGATAGTTTTCAAACAGATTAAACCAAAACTGGAACAGGGAGGAGACAATAGCTGAAGTCATTGCACTCAGACAGGTGGACTGCTCTCGTCACACTACAGGGACAGATATGTGTTTTCTCTCTATGTTCTTGCTATTAAGAAAAGCCAGCCGTGGAGTAAGTCCCATGGGTTCCTGACATACACTCTCTTGAAAGGCTGAGAGAAACATGAAGCTTGCCACCTTGGTCCTTCAAGTGTGAAAGGAAAAAAAAAAAAAAGAGCCCACAGTATTGATCAAGGCTTTTCCAGGGCTGATATGCTTCCCAAGAAGATGCTTTTGGAAACACAGTCTCTTCTGGGAATAGTGAGTGACTGATCCTTAGATTGCTACTTTGGTCCATCTGTTAACTACTTTGGATGGATAGGATACCACATTCCAAAGAGTCCTTGACATATTGCTTTTCTATGTTGTTAGCCTGTGAGACCACTGGCTTTCATAAGAAAGTCGATAGGTATTTTTGAAGATGCCAATGTCTGCTGAAGGTAGAGTAGAAATGAATACAATGGAATAGACATGATATGATTAGAAATTAATATGGTGATGAATTGATAGTATTAGGGAAAGAAATAGAAAGAAGTGTTAGATAATTACATTGATAGATTGATAAACAGTAAATAGATTGCTACAGAGGAAAATGGGTGGGTAGATAATTGGAGGGAGAGATAAATCAAACAATTGAGTAGATGGATAACCGTATAATTGCTTCAATAGCTTGATAAACCCTAAATAATCAGCCATCTATGGATCATTCTTTTTTTTTTTTTTATGAGTTAGACAACATTTTTTAAAGAGTCATCTATGGATCATTTTTTTTTTATGAGTTAGACAACATTTTTTAAAGAGTACTATCCTCAAAGTGCTTCCCCCTTTTTTGGTCAAGTGACTTCTAAACTTTTACTTTTGGGTTGTGTGCATAGCCCCAAACCTTTAATCCCTATAGCTGATGGAGAAAGCTAATAGGGCAGAGTGGCTAGAGAAGGAGATAAGAAAAAAAAAAAAATATATATATATATAGAGAGAGATGGATATGGGTATATTGAGATATCTTCCCAGAAAGAAAGGATGTGAACCCGAATGTAATTAGATAATAATAAGCATGGAGGGAGGGATATGTACATTATAATAAGGAAAATGGCCCAAAGCTTAAAAGACACAGATAATAGGACACTTGGATATAACTCTTGCTGTGCACTACATTATAAGTCAAGTTGTGTCTTCAGGGTGTTTATCATGAGGCACGTTTTTGCCCAAATGGAGCTTACGGTTTGGTGTGTGGGGGAAAGGGAGGCTGGTAGTGAGGATGATGAGGAGAGGAGCAGAGGAAAGGGAAAGGCCAAGGTAGCAGGGACAGATTCCATTTTTGGACACACCAGTGAATGATTATCCTACACATGGTAGAACTTTGCCCACCCCTCCTCCCAACCCCACTCATTCAAACTGGAGAAAAAAAATCAAATAAATCAACCCCCCCGCAAAAAAAAATCAAGAAGAACAACAGAAACAAACAAACAAAAAGCCCAAACTGGTTTGCCCTCCGCAGTGTAGATTAAAGTCTGTGATATGGAGAAGCAGGCGTTGCTCAGAGGACCTATGATTTCTTATCAAAACTTGATGAAGAAGTGGGCAAAGAGGGTCCCTGATAGCCAGAGACAAGCCAGTGCTCTAGAAGCCGAGTTTACACCATCAATGACTGCTCCAGGCCCTGTGTAGGGGAAAGAGAGACAGATCCATTAGCATGCACCCAAAGGGTACCATACTTATTCCCTGATAAGCATATATATATATATATATACATGCTTCTCTGTGAGCATCCCCCCATCTCCCACGTCCCACCATTGATCCTTCCAAATCAGGACAAATGGAAAACATTTAGTGGGAGTATTTAGAAACCCAAAAGGGCAACTCACTGAAGTACCTTAACCACTATAGCCTGCTCTCAAAGGGTTTAAAAAATAAAAGGGGTAGAGGAGGGCCTCTCTGAAGGCTGGAAAGAAGACTCTGTGTTCTGTTCAAATTGACACCTAATGGTGTGGCCTGATGGACTTCTCCCTCTACCCTTTCTTCTGGTCTCTCTGGCACTTTACATGCCCTAGTGAGTCACCCATGCTCCACTGTAAAACAAGACCATCGAGTCACAAGTGTTGCTCCTTTCACTTCCCTTGCCACCCTCAAGAAGACAAATCACATGAAGTGGGATTGCCCTAGCCTGTTCTAAGGACCCAGAGCATGTGTATCAGGATCTAATTCACCTCTGCATTCCTCCATCACCTTTATTTGCAAGCCATAAGAATTTGGAGTCATAAGCAAGACCAGCAGCTAGCAAGCAGAGAATATTCCAGGGAATGTGGAATTAAATATAAGACAGGGGTTAAGAAGTCATCCAGAGGTATTCCTGTAGAGCCAGTGAGAAAGAAAAGGAGCTGCAGACAAGACAAGCATGCCTCTTTTGGCCTCTTAAGCCAGGACTTCCTTTGCTTTCAGAAGTAAATAGGCTTATTGGAAATAAGCATGATTACTTTAAGAAGCATAGTTGGTGCAGGGTCTCCTCAAAACAGAACCATAGTCATTTGGCTGGCTTGTCAGTGTGATAGTGTGGATCCCTGCCTTGCCTAGGAAGAGGCTGGTGCTAACCTTTTGCTTGGGGAAGTATAGGCCTCTCACTTCAGCAATGAGCATGTAACTGTTCCAAGTCCAGGGATTTCCATATGGATACTTTTTCTTCCTCTGGTTTCCAATGTACACAATTCTCCTATTGACTAAAGATTCACATTTACTTTCTGGCTTGAGAGTCTGGCTCATACTGCTGTGCATTTTTGTTATAGAGTATTCACAGACAAGGGCAGGATCCAGGCATGAGCCAAGTGCTATCATCCCCATGAAGGTTCCATACACATTTACGAAAAGTAGCCTGACTCTGGGGCCTCCATCAGTCAAGACATATATCTTAAAGAACCATACTGGCCTACAGAATGTACTGAGTTGAAAAATGCCCAAGTTGGAGCTCAAAATAATTCTCTATATTATCTTCTTCAAAAGATAAATGATATAGGTGTTTTAATGAGTTTATAAAGAAATGAACAATGCAGATTTGTTAGACATATATGTTTCTATAAAAGACATATATGTTTCTATATCTATCTATAGACAGATACTTTTATAGAAACATGTTTAACGAATCTGCATCACTCATTTCTTTATAAACTCATTAAAACATCTAAATCATTTATCTTTTGAAGAAGATAGAGAGGACTTACATTAAACTAGTTATATGTGTGTGTGTCTTTGTCTAATTCATGATGCTGACATTAACTTAAGAAACAACTGAAGACCTAATAAGCCCCACTCTAGAGAGACAGAGAGCTTTAGTGTAGGAATCACTTTATTCCAAGTTCTACTAGTGTATTTAAGCGTTGCTTTGGATGTCATGCTACCAGCACAAGGTTGGATATAGCTAAAACAAAGCAGAAAAAAGCAGTATATGAGGAAGGCAAAGCATGAACGGTGAGGTACAGAGAGAGAAGGAGGCAGAATCATAAAGAGAAATGAGTATTTCTGGTGCTGTGTGGCAGTTGCAATAAGATGTTCATTACTGATCAGGCAGAGGGTTTATAACCACAGTTAAACTTCAGTTGAGTGTTCCACAGAATGGAAACCGTGAGGGTGACTTAGCAGGCATAAAGCCTGCTCAGCTTGCTTAGGATGATGATGGTAACATGTATTTACATTGTGCTCTCTGTGTGGCAAGTGTGATTCTAAATGCTAAACAAATATTAGCTCATTTAATCTTCACAAAATGCTACGAGCTATGCACTAGCCATGGCATTCCCATTTTATAAATGGAGAAACTAAAGAACAGAGCAGTTAAGTACTCTGTTATGGTCACCCAACTTATACACAGGGCTGGATTAGAACAGAGTCACTCTGTCTATAAAGTCTGTACCCTGGATTGTTACAACTCGACTTCCTTTCTGTGGAAAATGACCCCTTGTGCATGTTTTCCAAGGACCACAGCAATACATAGTGAGAGGAATAACTGGCTAGGAATCTGGAGACCCAGTTTCTCTATGTGATTCTGCTGCTCCCTAGCTGACTGGCACCCCCTCTCTGGCCTTCGCTCTCCCATCTACAAAAGGAGAAGAGGTGAGATTGATGACCTAAGGCCTTTCTCCTATTAGCATTTTGAGTTATTGTATGAATGGAGACTCTACATCTGGTGCTAGAAGGGACAGCTGGTGAGCAGCCAGATGGCCCTTTCCAGTTGGTACAAAACCATCACCACTCTGGGTTTTTGCACCTCAGCGTGTCATCTCCTAAGAGAACAAGAGGCCACCAAACATTCTTGGGCCCCCAGATTTTCTTTTCTGTGGTCACGTTCTCTATGCAGCTTCAAGAAGTTTATTCTTCAGCAGGTTTGAGGAGATCTGCTTAAACGTATCAGAAAATATGGCAATTTAATCCCAAAGTGCTTTTAGTCAGTCAATCTATGAGCAATGGCTGAGCTAGTCTGACCAATGAGTTAGTCTAATCCAATATAACAGAGATTAAAATTAGCATCACTTTCCTCATATGGATCCTGCACACATATGGCAGCTGGGCTAAATGCCAGGACAGCAACGGACCTATAGGAAGGCTCTTGGATTTTGTTCAGAGCAGGAAATGAGACTCACATCTGTGTACCACTCTCTAAGTTGGAGGAATGTGCGATAAAAGCCATCAGCTATGAACTGATTTTTTAATTACATCATTGCAGTAACCCTGATTCTACTATTAATGAGGAAAATAAAGCATTTAGTTTGTGTCTCTCCCTTAGGGTTTCTGTATGGTAAGGTCACTCACCTGATTAGTCATGTGCTTCTTTGTGCTTTAATATAGATTACCACTGCTCAGCTAATTGGTGTGGTTCCATGAATACTCAGGGCTCACTTTTGGTCCCTTAGTCTGGTAGGAGGCTTTTGCAAATGTTACCTCAATGAATCTGTTAAGGGAAGGGCATGCTACTGGAGGAACACTTCCCCTGAGCTGAGCAGTGGTAGTACTAAAGCTTGAACACACATCCTCATATATCAAGTTGACTATGGTTTTCCTATACCTTGGTTTCTTCAGGTAACAACAGCTACATTGACTTCTCCAAGTGCTTGGTACCCAAGATAATACTAGCTTTAATTTCAATAAACATGGTCAGGAATTCAAGTGGTGCTTTCCTCCTCCTTCTCCTTCTCCTCCTCTTACTTTTCCTCCTCCACATCCTTCTTGGTGGAAATAGGGAGAAAGTTAGTTCTTATTTGAACTTAGAATCCAGGATTAGGAAACATGAAGTGAATTTTCAATTGTGTGTTCTACTACAGAAAACTAACCCTGAAATGTATCTGGATGAAGGACAAGGGTTGGAAGGAAATATGGGACCGAACATCTAAGGAGCAGTGTCCCTGAATGAACAGGTAGAGTAGACATCTTCTATGAACATTAGGAAAGGTTTTGGATGCATCTGTACCCCTTGGCTTTGCTCTGTTGTCTTTGCAGCCCTAAACATCCTTTGGGGTAAAGTCAATGACCACTGTAAAAGTGTACTAATCCTGGCAACTTTGGAATCAGACCAATATGGGTTTAAATCCTGACTCTGTGGTGTACCAGCTGTGATCTCATACAAGGTACTTTCAGTTGTCTTACTGAAAATAGAGGTAATAATACCGAGTTTACAGGATAAAGAGTCAGAGTGATTAGTACAGTACCTGGTACAATGTAGTCATGTGATCATGGGAACCACCACTGTAGAGCTTCCACACCCCCCACCTTCCACGTCTTAGTTGAAGCTAATATTGGCTTATTTCAATCCTTCCCAAATATGTTGAACCTGAGGTGAGGTTTTGCTGGTGACAGAGTGAGGAGATGAGGTCATGAGATAGGGGGTCTGTTGCTGAGAGAGGCTGTTGGCCGTGAAGTGAGCTTGGGAAGACATGGGTCATTGAGCAGAGTGATGGAAGATGTCCAAAGCTAGGTTCCATGCAAGGTCCGAGGGCAAAGGATCAGTCTTGCAAGGGTAAGGGACCCCACACTAGCCTCAGAAAGCCACTGCCATTCACTCAGCAAGTATTGATTGGGAAGCTGCTGTGAGCCACTCTCTGTTTTCAGGCAGACACAATCTCTGCTTTCACAGAGCTTATACTTTAATAGGACCAGGAATAGCATTTCTTCTACTCTAAATCAGTCAACAAACAATTGAAAGAAGGAAGGAAGGAAGGAAGGAAGGAAGGAAGGAAGGAAGGAAGGAAGGAAGGAAGGAAAGAAGGAAGGAAGAAAGAGAGGTAAGGAAGAAAGGAAAGAAATTTTTTAAATGCTTCCAGATCCTGAGAAGAAAGCCATTTGGAACAAATAACCAGTATCCCTTTCATCTCAAGAATACCCTCCCTGTTGGAGTCTTAGGAGAATTAAATTCAGGAGTCAGAGAGGACTGAATTTGAATTCTGGCTCTGGGACTCACTAGCAGGATGACTTTGGACAAGACAGTCAACTTCTCTGAAACAGTTTTTTGGGTTTTTTTTTAATGTATAAAATGGGGAGGGGTAGTTTCATCTCCTCCTGTAGGGTTGTTTTGAGGATTAGATAAGATGATGGGTAAGATCATTGAGTAGAAGTAAAGGATGAATAAATATGAGGTGAATTAGAACCAGGACAATAACTGCTGATCCTTAAAATAGGATCTTT